GACAGTGAGTTCTTGGTTTATGATAATGAGAAATATGTGTACACAGTGAGTTCTTTGTTTATGATAAAGAGAAATATGTGTAGACAGTGAGTTCTTGGTTTATGGTAATGAGAAATATGTGTAGACAGTGAGTTCTTGGTTTATGGTAATGCGAAATATGTGTAGAGTTCTTGGTTTATGGTAATGAGAAATATGTGTAGACAGTGAGTTCTTGCTTTATGGTAATGAGAAATATGTGTACACAGTGAGTTCTTAGTTTATGGTAATGGGAAATATGTGTAGACAGTGAGTTCTTGGTTTATGGTAATGGTAAATATGTGTAGACAGTGAGTTCTTGGTTTATGGTAACGAGAAATATGTGTAGACAGTGAGTTCTTGGTTTATGGTAATGGGAAATGTGTAGACAGTGAGTTCTTGGTTTATGGTAACGAGAAATATGTGTACACAGTGAGTTCTTGGTTTATGGTAATGAGAAATATGTGTAGACTAATAAGGTGGTACAAGAGCAGTATCTATATTTGTCATTGAGCGTGTAATTGAATTGATTAATAGGTTCATTTCAAATGTCCTCAGTGGGATACTATGTGTACAATTATACTAAATCTCCAAAAAGCAATAAACACACAAGGACAAGGTACATAGCCAAGTTACCTCATTAGTACTACCAATGTTTGCTTCTTCATCTGTTACCATAGCAGCATGTTTTATTTTGGTTGATATTTCTAATAAAGTTCTATTAGTCACTTCATCCTCTGTTGGTGTCAATGGAATGTATTCTGCTTCCCCTGGAAGTATTTTATCCTCACTGCAGGATGCAGCTGAAATGAAAATCCTATATCAAAGTCTTGTAAAATGAGGAACTGGACAAATAAACAATTTAGAATCATGACATTTTCATTATGAAAAATAGGAATGTATGTCAATCCACAAGTGGCCATGATATGTATATATAGGTATACATATATAGGTGAACGCAATTGGCTTGGGCATATATATCTTGTTTGATTTACAACTAAAATGGTCACTGTTCAACCATCTTGAACCGATCTTGAGATAAATATACAGGTATGTACATGTTATGTAAAATTTGAATGTTATTCGCCCCTGTACTGCTGCAGGTTGGTAATAGTGCAAACAGGGACAAGTGTTATAAATATTATGAACAATTAGCAACTGTGACAAAGTTAAAATATTTGAAATGAAGTAATGTACCTGTACCATCACTATCCTCTAACTCTGATTCATCAGATTCTCTGTCCACAATGCTTCCTTGACCTACTGCTGATAGAGATGATGTCATTTTACTAATACCATCTTCTGAATTATTTGCATTTGTAAATGATTGTTTTTCATCAGTTGCAGAAATCATCCGGGGATCACTGCATATGAGCGCTGAAGACTGAGCGGTTTCTGCAACACTGCCGCTGAGCTCGGGACGGTGATCAGCATCATAATTCAGTTCAGTATTTGATGACGCTGATTTGTTATCCTCTTGCAGGCTTGGACCCTTGTCTCCAGTATTTGCATTTAATGTAAGGCTACTAGGTTGATATGTTGAGTCTAAATCTACATCATCATCATTTTCAGTATCACTACTAACACTACTTAAACTTGAACATCCCTCGTCGTCCACATAATTATCCACCTACAGATGTAAAATAAACACACCTAATTATAATTAAGATTCAGTTTTATTATATTTTTCGATTTGATGTTATAGATGAAAAGTGTTATGGTGTTAAGGTCACAAGCATGAGCCGAACGATGTCATAACCTTGTATAGATAGGCCTTGGATGTCATCCTATCATTGATTTCTAATGTGGTTGCAATCACAGTTAGGTGTTCCCAGGGTGATTTTTGTGATTGCAGTCTCACCACTGATACTGTTTTTTTTTAGTCAATTCTGATTCACAAACTGACACAACTTTGGCTGCAAATCAAAATTCCGACATTGCTCCAAATTCCATTCCAATGACAATGTTTTCTTTTCTAATCAAAATATGTTTATTATAACTTACACATACTGCAAAACGCACATGAGATCTCAACTAACTCCTAGACACACAGTGTCAGATCTTTCCAATGCTTCCCTTTTCAGGGTAGCGAGTCGCTACTCTGTGATTTATACTGATACTCTGAAAGGTTGCCCAGTGTACAATAAATAATTAACACATTAAACAAAAAAAACAAAAAAAAACAACACTGACACTTGCCAGCAGACTGAATGAAGTGTGAAGCTCGGTTTGTGTCCTGTTCAAAAGTTAAAAGCAAATGAACATTAACGTACTAGGCTAGAATTATCAGTAATTCACTAAAGTCAAGATTGGTCAAGATTATGAAATTAACAGGTAAAAGTAGTTCAATATCAATAAAACTATGATCACTTTTAAATTAGTTTCAATGTAAGAATGGTACCGAAGAGTGTCAATGGACTGAACACAAAGTTTATCAAAACTCAAAACTCTGTCACCAGAGACACACTCTCATAATCAGCTGTTTATTTACTTATACATGAATACAGTTCAAATGCCTAGCAAGTAATTTAACCTGTGTTTTAAGCAAGGAAAATAAATCACAGTGAAAAAATCCGTATAGCCAACATTGGTTTACTTTTGGCATGCAAATTACCAGCACACTGTGAAACTATTAAGGGAGTAATAAACCAAAGGATTTGGGGGGTTATATGTAATTTAAACCTCAATTTTTAAAAATACAGATATAAATTGTATAAAATTAACCAATAAATAAAATAATACATTTTTGGTAATATATTCCATTCTAAATAACTTATGGGTATCACTGTATAAAGTAACTCAAATGTCTATCAAATATGTATATTATATTAATTAGTATGTAAATTAGCTACAAAACAGCACATATGAAAACTAACGTTTAGACACACACAATGAATGCAAGAGTTGGGTTACATACATTGGTTTCTCTGGAGATGAGTTCTAACAGACTATTTTGCATATATTATTTCCATCATATTAGACTACTTCTAGTTTTACCTTCAATATTTTTCCACCAGTAGTTTCCGATGTCCTCATTAAAATACTTGGTGCTATTGTTCCTTCATCCAGTATCTGAATCGAATTGAAGTGAAATAAACATCAATATACGCTTGATTTCCACCAATCATAACAATGTTTTAACAATGGTGGCTAATGTTTGTCAATTACCCACTTGTTAGAACAGGAAAGATAATAAATAGGGTGCAGATGATATTAACCAATGAAAAAATCAAATTGCTATGGAATGATGATTGTTTTTCTCAAACAAACTTGTTTTCACTATTGGTAGCAAAATGAATATGTAACATAAATGTGTAATTCGTCATTGACAAGGAGTTAGTACATGTAGTCCAGATTTGTATGTGAAGAGCTTGTAACCCAGATTTGCATGTGAAGCATTAGTAGCTCAGATTTGCATGTGAAGGGTTAGTGGTCCAGATTTGCATGAGGCAGGTTAGTAGCTCAGATTTGCATGTGGGAGTTAGTACCGATAGCCCAGATTTACATGTGAAGCATTAGTAGCCCAGATTTGCATGTGAAGGGCTGGTAGCCCAGATTTGCATGCAAATGGTTGGTAGCCCAGATTTGCATGTGAAGGGCTGGTAGCCCAGATTTGCATGTGAAGGGTTGGTAGCCCAGATTTGCATGCAAAGGATTATTAGCTCAGATTTGCAAGTGAAAGGTTGGTAGCCCAGATTTGCATGTGAAGAGTTATTAGCCTAGATTTGCATGTCAGGGTTAGTAGCCCAAATTTGCATGCAAAGGTCAAATAGCTCAAAATTGTATATGCAGGGTTGGTAGCCCAGCCCAGATTTGCCAAGATTAGCCCAGATTTCCATTTGAAGGGTTTGAAGCTCAGATTTGCATGTGAAGAGTTATTAGCCTAGATTTGCATATCAGGGTTAGTAGCCAAAATTTGCATGCAAAGGTCAAATAGCTCAGAATTGTATGTGCAGAGTTGGTAGTCCAGCCCAGATTTGCCAAGGGTAGCCCAGATATGCATTTGAAGGGTTTGAAGCTCAGATTTGCACATGAATGGTTATCAGCCCAGATTTGCATGTGAATGGTTAGTAGCCGAGTTTTGTATGTGAAGGGTTAGTAGCCCAGATTTACATTCAAAATGTGATGGGCAAGTAGCTTAGATTTGCAAAAGATTTAGGAGGAGCTCACCTCTTCCTGTAAGTCATCATTATTGGGTTCAGTCAGTTGTGCACTGTTTACATTAACTGCAGATTGTTGGTGAGATTGTAAAGTACCATTGTTTGTCAGGTTTCTTCCATTGCTGATATCACCACCTTGTGGTGCATATTGATTTGCATCTTCTGTAAGCAAATGGTGAAATGGTTATTACATTTTTTTCTTTTCCAAGACAGATTTATTTGAGTAACCCATGCACATTTCCACAAAACAAAGGATTAATTGTTATGTTAATGATATGCAAACTAGTTCATATAAATATCATTTTAGTTTTATCAGTGATTCGCTGAGGAGCTTCATTTTGTACAAAATCAATACACATGGAGATGTGTCTGCCTAGCATTACGAGTTTTGTTGGGTTTGTTGGATGCACACTCAGCAATGAAATAATACAGTATTTGTTTCGACCACTAATTGCCAAACTCACGTCACGACAATTATTGATGATGTCCTGGGGCATAATGCTGTTTATCAGTGTTGTTTCTGTCCACAGTACATGAAAATATTCAGAATTCTTATCAAAATGAGTAGCAGATTACCAAAAATAAAAAAAATTAAAAATAGTACTCAACACAGGGCAAACTATGTTTACAAAGTGGGGGACTCGTCACCTGCACATACATCAGATGGCCATAGCGTGTCATTGTTTACAAACAAGCATCTACCCATGAGCCTTTTCGTTTTTAGCATGCATTGTTATCGTCACTTAGAACCCTCCGCTTGAAGAGAATGCCAGTTCACAAATTATGTACAGATATCTAGTAGCAATTACACTTAAATGAATAAAAATGTGATCGGTTTACAATTAGTATAAAGACAGAGAGACAAGTGTGGATTTAAAGGAACAAACATGCAGCCAAAGCATGACTCAAAGTTCCACCTGAAACTTCGATATCCTTCAGTACTTTTTTCCCAATTTCAATCAGTGGAATTTCTTGAAAATTTGGCCTTGAAATTGGTTGTCCTCAGTTTTTCCAATGTCAAGGCCTGCAATGGTCACATAACTAAGAATGGTATAAGAAATGTTTCTACCATGTGTAAGTATTGTAAATGCATTGATGAATTCATCATACGTCTGTTCAGCATTGTTAAGTACAGCATTTATTGCATCTTCAACATATGAATCATTCTCTCCACTCTGGCTCCGCCCCTCAGAATCCATTCTTGACACATACAACACTGGGACCTGGAATATAATTCATGAGATATGCAGGGTTTTTTCTGGAAAAAAAACTGCAAAAGGGAGAGACTGCAATTCAGCGGCGCCACTAAGTGGGGGAGATAGGGTTCTCCCTACTAGCGTGTGGAGTTTTTGATAATTCTAAGTTAAAATGGAGCATTCTATGACTTCCTTAGAGCCAAAATTACAAAATTATTGAAAACTGTGGCCACATGTGATCTCTGGTCAATTAGAATTTTATGTTTGCCAGAGGATCTGCTCTTCAGCGTAAGGGGGCGCATGGCCATGGCATGAGGGCGCTGTTCCCATGTTTAAAAAAATCCCTGCTATGCATGTAATAATATAAGGTTATTACGAACATACC